TGCAGACCATTTCCCCCTTCAAATCTTATTTCACCTTTTCCTTGACCCTCTTCCATCCTTTTCACGTTCTTTCTTTCGCCCCCGATGGTCCACCCGGTGAATTCATTTTGAAAGTTTTTCAATAGTCAAACAGGGAATTTTTATGTATAGAGAATAGCTTACCATGAGTCGTAATTTTTGTTTCCCTTTGATTTTCCATTCAAAGTTTGAAATTCGTCTGTTTTGGGAAATTTTATTGAATCTGTATTTCTATATTGTATATTTTAACATATTATAATTTAAAATATATTTTTCCGGTATCCCTTTGCTGCGATTTAAACCGTCGAGTCGATTAAATAAAGATTCAACCAAAGGATTTTTCAAATCAATTTAGAATCTCCAATATATCATCGTTGTGAACAATGTTCTTTTAAAAATAAACATATTTGTTGCATAATTTACCCTAAAACTCGATTAAATCCTATTAAAAATTAGGAAAACTTTAAACCGCTATAACTCCGAAGATAATGACTTCCGGTCAACGGATCAGCGATCGTTGGAAGCGCGAGACCTTGCCCTTTAAAACGCTTTTTTATTTATCTCGATACGACTTCCGGTTCCAGAGATATCGTCGAATAAAGGAAAGACAATTCTCGATCATTTACCTTTAGCCCTATTAAACCCAATTAAAATTAGGAAAAATTCGAACCGCTATAACTCCGAAGATAATCACTTCCGGTCAACGGGTGAGCGATCGTTGGAAGCGCGGGACCTTGCCCTTTAAAACGCTTTTTTATTTATCTCGATACGACTTCCGGTTCCCGAGATATCGTCGTGTAAAGAGAACGGTAATTTTTAATCGTTTACTATCTCCCTTCTTGTCGCTTACTCGGATCTCTCGCTCGCACCTTATCTCACTGATCTATGTCAACTCGAGACGAGCGACAGACGCGATTCCTGGAAGGAGCTAGTACGCATTTCCAGGAAAAAATATATAGGTCACTGGCCCATTCATAATTTCTGGGCTTACGCTATGAAAACTTTGAATCCTTGTATCTCGGCAACGGATTGAGATATCGGGATAAATGAAAAAGGGACTTCAATGGCATAAATTTCTCCATATCCTGAGTAGATTTGATGACAAAATTTTTAACTTCTTCTCGCGTTTTTTTTTTTATATCAAAAGAGTGAATCTCTGTAGGATTAAAATTTTGTTCGTTTCTTCTTCTATTTCTTCTTCTTCTGCTATGAAAATTTCTATAAGTCGTTTACACAAAAATTTTAATGGACAAGATCTGTCATATATGTATACATTTTTAAGAATATTTTACCTTTTGTCTTAAAATTTGAAGTATGATAATACTTCTCATGGAACGAATTTCACACGCGTTCACGGAATTTAACGTTCGTCGCTGTTAAGCTCGATAGATATGTAATTAGAAGTGCCAAGAAAAAAGAGTTTAAGACGAGGACTGGAAATCTTGGCTCAAACTAATCCTAGTAATCAGAAGTTAGAAGCAGCGAAATGACATCTTGACGATTATCCGGGAATGTTTCTAATTTATCGGTTCCTTCTTGTAATTAGACAACTTGGCCATTAGTGAAAGATCTAGTTTAACTCCTCGGCAAAAACGGCGCGAATAACGTATATGTTCCAGTCTCTGCTAATCACAGTTCAATTTGCTCTTCGTATCCAACTTTGATTCCAACGTTGATCCTCGAAATGAATTTGAAAAATAATTAAAACTAATCGATATGAATTAATCGTTTGAAATCGTTTCACGAGTGAGACGAATTTTAATAAAAAAAAATATCTATTTATACATACTTTTAAAAATTTTTAAAATTGACAAATATTCATTTTCGCCCTCGCGAAACGATTTAACGAGTTAAAATAACCGAAATATAACGACAAACTTACCAAGAACACTCGATTATCGTCGAAGTTGGATAAATCAATGGAGGGGAATCGCTATCACGAACAATTAAAACGCGTTTCGATCATCTGCCACGAAAACAACGCGCACAGGAAACGTGTGCAACGTCGGTTTAATATAATTTTCTGTCATACGAAACGAAAGGGGAGAGACGACGTCCGAATTGCCGGACGTCGGATCCACACGGGACTTTATTAATTGACAGGGAACAGGCACGAGATAAATTCGTCGGTTCTCCATTGAGGGGACACCCTGTCCGCCTCTCGGATCAAATTGATACACAAAGAAAAGCGACATTCGTGATGGAAGCGTTTTTAAAAGCGCTCGCTCGACAGCGTCCAGACCGTGAGAAACGAACGCAGGATCGAGCACGGGTCGAGATCTTGGGGAAACAACTGTGAAAAATTGATACGTGAGATGAATAAATTCTATATACAAGTATTTTCGATCGATTGAAAAATAGAATTTGAAAATAAAATTATCGTCGAAAATATAATTTCAACGCGACGAAGAAGATTTATGGTGAAGTGAAATATTTAATTTTGAAAACCATTCGTTATTACAACAATTCTGATTATAAAAAAGATTGATATTATTTCTAGCTTCGTTTCTTTCGAGTTAATCGAGGAGAGCTCTTTAATTTAACGATAATATGGATAAAAGAAAAGATATACTCGCATCTTATTTTTTTTTTTTTTTTTTGGAATTCATCAATCGTAAAATTTATCGAAAAATAACACTTCACCACGTTATTTCGTGTAATTTATAAAAATTCTAAAGGGAGATGTAATTGGAAACGTGGAACGAGCATCGATTCGATGTATATTCAGCATCCATGAATCGTGGCACGCGACGAGCATGCCATATCAAATTAACGATCAGCTGCAATTAATTAATATCGTTCTCGTTATCGTTGTTACCGTATAGCCGCAAGTGTGTTTTAAGTATCGTGGAAATGATCCCGACCGACATAATGATCTGACAGCCGCTGATGGGCCGAACAATTATCGATTGTTTGTATTATTAGAGTATGATAAACGGTTGGCAAGTAATTGGAATGGCAAGCAACACGAAATTGCCAATTAATTTGCGAGCATCGGTTTGTTCGTTCGACCCATCAGAAGCAGGGGACGTGTTTTCTGGCTTGTTCTTTGGATCATGCGTAACTAATTGGAAATAAGCTGGGGTTGAAACCATCCTTTAACGAAACAAACGATTCAGTGGCTGTATTTTTGGTTTGCACGTCGACGATGGTCGTTTCTCTGGTCGATTGCCTGAGAGACATCTGTAAAAGAATTTAAATTTTGTTACGTTGGTATCTATTAGAAATTCTTTGATCTTTTTTCGATCAAAATCAATCAAATTACATACACTTGATAATAATTGAAATTATTTTAAGATAATGGAAAATTTCTTTATTAATTATTCATTATTAATGGCGGAAGCATAATTTTTCTGCTTCACCAAAAGAAAATATATTTTATGTATACAGTGAAAGGGTTGAGTTATGTTCAAAACAGCAAGTAAAATTCTCCATATATCGATAAAAGCATACTAGAAAAAAAGAAAGAAAAGCAGGATAAGAAATTACAGGAAAGCGTTACGTTTCGACAATATATGTATATATCGAAAATTGCATTAGACATGCATACATAAACATGAATCAAGGGTGCAACAAGAATGCTGGAACTAAGCTGTGAAACTAATAATTAAATTCCTCTAGCTGGGTGGACGGAGTGAATTCACACGAGTAGACGAATTTTCATGGTGGCAGAAGTTCGTGACTTCCCAACAAGGGGATGCTTTCGATTCCTGTAATTTTCGTCTTTGAATTGAAATTCACGCATAATGAATTAATGTGGCCAACTAGAATTTTTTTTTCTTTTTTGTTTGCAAGGATATTTCTACATTCTTCGAAATCTTCGATCGATTTCGTTTCTAATTAAATCCATGAATGAGAGAATTGATTTTATTTTATTTTAACAAGGATTAATGTTTCGATATATTGAGAAAATGTTGCACGAATTAAGGGAAAAATCGCATGTAGCGATTAATATTCACACTGTTACGCGTGTCATGAATATTAAATTTATCGCAATGATGGTGGATTATCTGAGTTTGAAACGAGGTTAAAAATTTCTGCTATACCGTTTAAGTAAATTTAACTCCTCGCAGTTCCACTTTTTATTCACTCTCTTTTCCCCTGATTTTAATATTCAAATGAACGTTATATTTATTTAAATTACACTCCGAAACGCTTTACAATTGGAACTATTAACGTTTTAAGAGAGAATTTTAATAATAATAATAATAATGAGTGATCGATCGCGATTATCACGTCGATTTAATAATTTCTTTTACGGATTAATTGAGCTGTAATAAAAATTTCATTACTTTGCCCGTAATTAAACATTGGCAAAGTATTCCGATCATCTTTAAACAAATCGAAATTCATTTTTACCTTAATAAATCCCAAGTCAACATTATTAAATTTTCCACCTTTCTGTCGAATTAAATTTTCCTACCATTTTCAAATATTTCACGAAACGTGAACAATCAAAATCTAATATATCAACAAATATATTTTAATTAAATTTTCTCAGAAAATTCGCACATTCAAAAAAATCTACTTAATTTGTCACAAAAAAAAAAAAAAGAAAAAGGAAAAAAGCTGGCAATTCGTTCGCCAATTATTCCATTTCACAATAGAGTTCCAACTAAATTTTATCGCCGAGAATGTAAATCATCCAGGATGAAACTGTACTCTGTCCCCTCGACAACGGAGATGAAAATGCAGTTGTCGTCCGGACGAGAAATAATACAGGGTGGGCCGCGTTGTAACTCGTCCATCTCTTCCGGAAAAGCCGGTGTTTCCGTTGAGCGTTAATTACCGGCCGAAACAAAAATAACAGCCAAGGGTGTGAATTTGTCCGCGGCGGCGAGTTTCGATCGCTCGCGGCGATACCCGCCAAAGTTTGGCCAACTGGATTTCAAAATTTCAATGTATCAATGCAATTTGAATTGTAGATGAGGCGAGAAACGTCCCCTCGGGACTTCAACGCCGCGCGTTTAAAATCGTTTAAGGAAGTTTCTCGCGGCTAGGAAAATTCGCGACAAAGGGAATCGTTCCCGAGGAAAATTTTTAAATAAAAGTTTAGGACAGAGGTTTGGCTCGATGTAGGAGTTGGGTATAGGAAAATGTTTGGAACGAGCAGTAAGTTTTTCCTCTTACGATTAGGAAAATGATATGTGTGGCGAAGTAGACGTAAAATCTAAAAGGATTGAGGATAATTGGATCGAATGTCACAGGCGTGTAAATTTTTTAAAAATGAATTTAAAAAATGGAACGCTAGATGAATTTAGGAAACTGTCCCAAGAGAGGAAGGAAATTATCATAGCATAAATTTCTTTCTTCGATTTCTGTTCTTACTTATTGTATTAATTATTTATTCGAATAGCTATATCGAAATAAAATTAACTCGTTAGTAACTATATTCGTGGAATACAGTTTCGAACGAATGTTGCAAACTGAAGTATTAATTTAAAAAACACGTGGAATGTAATCTACGATAAAAATCAACTTAGAATTCGTTCCAATTTCATTTTAAGCTCCCGTTTATAACCCGAGATCGAATCTTTCAAGAAATTTTAATAATTAATTAGAACATCGTATCACGAGAATCCTCCTCGAACAATCCAGTATAAGCTTCGCGTACCCGTCCGCGAAATTCTATATTCGTCACGCGACGCATAACAACGATGGGGGACCGAGAATTAAAATAAAAAAGAAAAGGAAGAAAGGGAAAAAAGGAAGAAAGGGGCGTTGAATTCCTGCCCAATTAAACGAGGTTGAAAATTACGTGGTGGAGGTCGTGGTGCAGACCTTGGACGGTCGTTTCGATCGTTTTTCGACGCGCCACCGTGGCGCTACGAGGCTCGAACGAGTCTTGGAACGCGTCCTCTCCGCCTGGTATTCCAGGGAACCAGTTGTACGGCTTTGTCCGCGGTTAACAATGTCTGGCATGCTGCGCGACGACAGTGTGCGCGCCAGTACTTACACCCAAGATTTACATGTTTTCGATCGCACCGCTCTTCTATGACCAGCGTTCGAATCGTAAGAGAACACTGTGCAACCAGCCGATTTGTTTTCCTTTTTCTGGACACGGTTATGGTTTAGAATTCGATCGTTCAGATATTTCACTTTTCTTTCGGTATTTTCTTTGAATGCTCGATTTAATACCATTGAATCTAATTCTCAAGATCAATCTCGTTTCAAGCTTGAGATCTAAGCTTGATAATAATATTAAACAAAATAAATCTATCGTTATTATTATTAATACATCCGGCTGGCAATCGTGCTTCCAATGTATGTAATTTTTATTTCCAATAATATTCACAATAGTTGATCGATTCGCACGAAGCTAATTAATTTACCAAACAATACAATGATCTTGATAGAAGAGGAGAGCAAAATAGAGGAGCCCGTTCTGTCACTCCCTGTTTCGCCTGTTTGTATTGGCAATTTGACTGTTTCACGGTTTCAAAGCTTGTGACAAACGTGATAATAATTATTATCCCACAGCGCGAATCTTGATAAGAACTTAATTTTCCCAATTTTCATCGACCAACGTTCGTTCGTACGTTATTTATAGATAACAAAAATCGTGAAAATATGTGTAACCAGGCACAGATCGATTTTCCAACGCAATGGCGAAAGCAGCTGGCAGAACAAGATAGGCGGTTCCTGTTTCCCCGAGATAAAAAGGGCTACCGCGGTGAAAACCCTTGGCAGCTCTTCGAAGCGGAATTTATTCCACTTCTACAAGGTGGAAAAGGTCCCCGTAACCGTTATGACTTCGTGGCGTTTTATACGTGACGCCGAGGTTAACGGCACACCGTTCCTTCGCCTTCGTGTATTTAGCATTCGAATGGCGACCGTATTACTGCTGCCTCCCAGTCGTTACAATCCCAACGATCGATGCTTTTATTCCGGTTTCGTGGTCGATTGTCTTGTCGAAAAAAAAAAAAAGAAAAGAAAAAACTCGATTTCATTGTTGCCTTGCTCTCGTTATATCTCATCTTCTTCGTAACGTATAAATATTCCTTTATCGTCGTTGCAACATCGATCGATCGTGTAATTTCGTTTTTAGTTAGTTACTTTAGTTATTGATAATATTTATGACTTTCGAATTTTAATGTTCTCACTCTCGTTTTTCAAGGAGTTGACGATCCGATTTTTAATATCCGGGAAGGGAAACGGATGAGAATTCTTTTCGTTGAATTTGAGTGTGTATTTTTAACAATGGAAAAGCATCCTAATCTGCAATTAGATATACGCACGAGAGAGGGAAGATTATATTTAAAATTGTTCGAGCATTTTATCTCTTTACTTCTCGACGATTTTTCCCTCGGCTTCAAGTTTCTTTCAAAATAATCAATGATTCATACGATGTAAGATGTAAGAGATAGATAGAAGATGCCCATGACGCATACATTTGCGTCACTAGGCGCGAAAGTGTTAAACGAATTTCTATTTTCTGCATCATAATCAAATTAACCGTGTCCCGTAATAACCCTTTCCCCATTTTTCCCCAACAAGTCGAGCTTTAATATTAAAACTAATGGTATTTTTAGTATCCCCGCTTGAAAGAGAAGAGAAATTTCAAAAAATCCTTTGAATCACGATATCGCGCTCTCACATTTCTAATTAATCAATTCTCGATAACCAGTTTCGAAAATTCGAGGGGATTTCAAAAATCCCACCAAACTGCGGAATTGTCCATCACGTGTCCATCAAGCGACGTCGCGACTTTCGACTCCGCTTGAAATCGACAACGGTATTGAAACGAAACCCTGTGCAAAATATCAGGTTTTTTTACTGCAAAGGCCGTAACTCTCGTCGTCGTGGTAGGAAAGATCCGTGCCGTCGTAGGGCTGCGCCTCTCCACCGAGGGTGGAAACCAGAAGGGAGAGGGTTCACAATGCTGGAACGAATATTCTCTCTCTCTCCCCCTTCCTTTGCACGAGGGGTGAAACCTCGAACGTAGCACCCCTCCCCTGATGCGTGTGCATCTTGTCCAAAGGTTCTCGCGTGCAAGTTAGTGCCGGGTGTATCCTCGTCCACGGCGATCCATCGAAACTTTGCAATAGGCTCTGTGAGAGTTTCTCGCGCCGAGGGAGGAATCGAGCGTTCGTTTCGTCGCGAGATGAGAAACGTGTGCCTTGAATCGTGGTGCAAGAAGCGATCTGTAACGCGCAAAGGTAGAATATTATTATCGAATGAACGTAACGGCGTTTCGAGGCGTTTCTTATCTTCTCTGTGTGTTTCTATATTCTTTTCATTATTTTTTTCTTTTTTCTTTGTTTTTTTTTTTCGGTTTGTTTTCGAGTGAAATTATCGGAAGATTAATCGAAGTGGGTGTTTTAACGAGGTAGAAATATCGTTGTCGTTAATTGAGAATTGAATGGAATTTTCCTTCGGATCGGGGAGGAATTATTGTTATTATTTTTAAAAAGGGAATTAATTTTGAAGGAAAAATTTGAGGCATGAAAGAGGGACGGTAAAGTTGCTCTTAAAATATTCGTGCGCTGGTGTAACTCGCGAGATAAATTGAAGAGAGATGCATCTTGAATATGTGTGTGTGACAAAAAGAATTAATTTTGCGAAATTTGAAGCATAAAGGAGAAACGATTACTCCTCATAAATATTCGTGCACTGGTGTAATTTTGCGAGACGAGTCGAAGAGGAGTGCAGTTTGAATTTTCTTGAGAATTTTAACAAATTCACACCATCGAAATAATTTTTTGAAGTAATATGAAAAATAATAGAAGAACCGATATGAAGCGAAAGTGAAAATCAAAATTACCAGTGTCTGAATATTTCCTTTTTTCTCTCT